CATTATTATTGAACACTTTGTTATACATGGGAATTTTTGCTTAAAGTCCAGGAAATGTCTTATTTACCTTTGTAGCTTTAACTTATCATAGTGCCAGGTATTGTCAAGGGATAGTCAAGGATGAGATATAGTAAAAAAAAAAACAAAAACAAAAAAAAACCTCCATAAGTGCTTACTGAATGAAGATGAACAAGAGGAAAACAGTGTCTTAACTTATATCTCCCACAGCACCTCCCATACATATAAGTACAAAGCAAATGACTTTTAATTAGTTGTCATTAATAGAAATTAAGAAAATCCCTTCATGTTCTTCGATTTCACTGCTTTCTTCTCTATACCTTCTTTCCAGACCATTATCATCTACCATTTGGTGTAAACAGTGTTATGTACCAGATACCTATGGGCTTTTTAAAATAAACTATATCTAAGCTTCACTGCTATGTAAGGTAAATGGCATACTCATTTTATAGATGAGGAAACTGAGGTACAATGAGATTAAATAATCTTCCCAAAATCACAGAGCAAAGCTGTGTTAAAGTTGTTATCTTAGTTGGTTTGGACAGCTATAATAATATGCCATAAATTGGGTGACTTTTAAACAAATGTATTTCTCACAGGTCTGGAGACTGGGAAGTCCAAGATCAAGGTGTTGGCAGATTTGTTCTCTGGAAAGGGCCCTCTTTCTGGTTCATAGATGACACCTTCTTTCTGTGTCTTCACATGGTGGAAGGGTCATACAAGCTCTCTTAGGCTTCATCTAATATGGGCAGTAATCTCATTAATACCGTCATCTTGGGTATTAGGATTTCAACTTATGGATTTGGGGAGGATACAAACATTCAGACCACGTAACTGGGACCCCAAGGACTAATATTTGTGGATCCCAGAGATCAGGCTCAATATTTTCTCTTGCATTGCTGTGACATACAAAGCTGAAAAACACTATGTGCAAACAACACTTCTTTAACCCTCTTGCCATTCTCTCCTTTCTTGTGTTTCTGAGACTTGAGGTAGAGCCCTTTGATCTATCCAGTTCTACTTTGTTGGATGTGTGTGTGTGTGTGTGTGTGTGTGTGTGTGTGTGTGTGTGTGTGTGTGTGTTTCACAGGTAGTTAAAGGGAACATAATCTCTTCTTTCTAGCCTTTACCTTCATCTTCATATTCCCCTTCATTCCCACTCCCAAAATGGACTGTAAATGTGCTGGAACTGTATCAGTAGAATGACAGAATTAAAAAAAAGAAAATGTCAGAATCAGGCTCAGTCATCAAAAGAAAAGTAGGAACCTGAGTAACAGCAGCAGTGGCAAAAGAAGTGATGGCTTGGCATCAAGGAGATCAGCATGTGATCCCTGAATGCTCTGGGGAGGTTTGCATTCATCTCCTATTGCTGGGAGCTTATTTGTCTTCAAAAATACAAGCTGCCTTTTTGACTAGTCTAGAACTGCCTCACTAAGAAAATGATAATTTGAGGGTGAGAAAAATGGGGAAGAGAGCAACCATTATGAAGACTGGATTCCAGAGTGTAGGAAGAAGGGTACCACCAGGAGGGGAAGGAAGGTGTACCAGAGGAAGTGGGGTAGGACCACAGACTTCTTGGAAAATTTGCCAGTTGCTCTGAAGGGTTTTTTTTTTTAAGCCCATGGCAGAATTATTCACACTGAGGAGCTAGTTAGTGACAATGTGTAGCCTTTCACAGAAGTCTTGGGATCACAAAATCCAATTGCAAAAAGGTAACCCTTCAACCGAAAGACACAAACTTCTAATGATGGCATTTTAGGCATCAGTGAGAGATGAGGTGGTAAGAAATATTTAAGATAAAGGGGTATTTCTCAACTCCCCTAAACATCACAGTTCTGCTTATATATAAGACCATCTCTTGCCTGGGGAGAAGAAACCTCTTCTTTCCCAACACATCTGTATTTGTATGACTTATAGTGCTTATCTGCTTACCCCACGCTGTCAATCCTCCACTCCTCCTTATAGTGCTCTGTGGGAATTTGACTAGAAACAAGAGAGAAGGGGAAGGCTAGAAGCCATGCAGCCTGGTCATTCCTGTTGTAGCATTCCCTGAGGGACCCTGGATCCAGCTTTGCTTTGAACTGCTTTTCTGCTAGTTTTCAGTCAGAAACATTGAATGTGTTTCAAGGATGGTTGTTTAGATGCCCAGCCACCCTGGTAAATCTGGGAAGAGAGAGGATAGAGTATGAGGTGGCTTTCCTTGCTTCTGTAGTTGGGAAACATGCTATGTTGGCCCTCTAAAGATGCAAGGGGAGATTTGAGTTTCATATCTCATTCTTAGATAGAAAAAATGAGGCCTTAAGAGGTAGAGTGCCTTGTGTTAGATTATGGGGTGTCAGTAACTGAGTTGGGATTATGACTCAGTGATCCTGCCCTGAAGTTTTATCGCTATGTTGTGGAAAGAGCCCAGACTTGGAGGCAGAACAACTATATTTCTGGGTTATCTCTCCTATTAAACAGCTGTGTGGTCTGGGTCAAATCTTTTGGGGTACCAGTAGCCTCATTTTCATAATTCTCCTCCCTATACCATTAAGGACGTTAGAAGAATAAAGTAAAAATAGATGAGAAGACATTAAGATAATTGTATTGCATAAAACTAGTGTTAAGCATGACCATAATTGGTTTCTTTTTCTTTGATTCTATTGTGTCTTCCTTTCTTTTTTTTCTCCAAATCTCTTAGTAAAATAATAGACCCCATTTCCAGGTTACTTAGAAGACTGTTGCAAGGAAGACTCTTAAGATCATGCTTCCATGGAAAAATTCTCACCCTGAAGTTGCTTTGCCATTGATCCCTTGGTAGAAGGCCCGATTCAAAAATCAATTCACATTCTTTTGAGGCAAAATACTTCCAAACTTTTTTTTTGTTTTTTTTGGTATACCAAAGTTCTGCCAGCTCCTGTAAGAGCCATGGCAAATATTATTTTGTAGGTCACTGTAGTTTTCCTTCACCACAAAATGCTGAGATTTGGAATAATTAGAGCCCAGGGGGCAAATGGCCCTGCTTCTGTCCTTTCTCTGATGGGTTTCACTTATGTCTGCCAACTGCAGCTGTCTGGTTGTATATGCGTGTGTGCAGGGGCAGGGCCTCTTAGCCCAGACAGAGAGACAATTAGTATGAGTTAAACTCTTTCTAGGAGCTAAGTCTTCTTTTTTTAAAGGCAAAATTAAGGTACTTTCTTTATATCACGTAAGGGATATAAGTAGTTAACACCCAAGGAGTAAATTACGCAGAAACTGATGTTAGATCAACTTATACAGCAAAGTATAGTATTGAGTTAGTTACCCAAATCACTGAGTCCAAAGAAAGTGCAATATGTATGTTCCGGGTATTTTTTCCAGAATGTTACAACACAGCTTTCGTGTTCTATTGGTTTGGGTTTGGTTTTTTTCTTTCTTTTTTTAAAGTTTTCAAACAAAGTTTATTAGAAAGAAGGGAGAAAAGAAAAAGTGATATGCCAGAACTGGCATGGGTGAAAGAAACTGCCTGGTTTGGGTTTTTAATTAAATGATCTCTTCCTTATTACAGGTTTGAAATAATTGGCACTCTTTTTGATAGTGACTAGAAGAGAAGATTCTAGAATCAGTCAGACATCAGTTTATATCCTGGTGCTGCCACTTGCAAGTTGTGTGACCTTAGCCAAGTCAACTAATTTTTTAAACCTTAATTGCCTCATCTGAAAAATGGGCATAATTGTAATGTCTATAACAGAATGTTATTAGTAAGAACCAATGAGATGATATATGTAAGAGCATTCACCATTATGCCTAGCATATAGATAGGACTTGATAAATGTCATTTATTGTTATATTATTATTAGAATGGGTATTATTATTATTATTAGCCTTTATTATTTTCACTTCATCCCAAGAACAATTTCATTCTGTTTTTTAAACAGTTGTATTGAGGTATAACCTACCCACCATAAAATGGACACATAGTTATTATAGTTTTGACTGATGGAAAGAAAGGATGGTCCAACTCTTTAAACCTCTCCCTAATGAAATACACAGCTCCCTTGATTTTGCTTCCTCCACTGTCTTGCGGCAGGTGCTTTCTAAGTTCTACTTGTATCTATTGTTGATTTCAATTTCTTCTTTTTGCCACTCACTAACTTTTTAACTTCAGATAAGTCACTCAACCTCAGTGACTTGTTTCCTTCACCTGAAAAATGAAGGTAAAAATCTACCCTACTTGATTTGCAAGGTTGTTACGATGTTCTTTTGTGATAATATATGTGAAATATCTTTGAAAATGATTTTCTAGGTTACTATAATTCACAAATATGAGTTCTAATAATATTCAAGTGCCAAATCGTATGCTTCAGACATCAGATGCCTTGAGAGGTCCAGACTGTGGCCTGGAATTATTAGAGAATGCTTCATGGAAGAAAGAGGTTGTGAGCTGAACCTTCAAAATCAGATAGGACTTCATAGGTGGGAAATGTGGGGTGGTGGTGGGGGAATCTTGGTGGAGGAATTAAAAATAAACGAAAACTGCAGAGGCTAGAACAAGCACACAAGCATACACACACCAAGTAATATAAACATGGGAGGGGATACAGTTACTATGGCAGTTATAATAGAGGGTTTCTCTTCTGAAGCAATAGGGGTAAAGATTAAATAAAAGTAGTGTGGACTCCCTCCTTTCAGGCAAGTTAATATCTTATTCATCTAGGACTATTATCCCCAATTAGGCAAGAGCCTTGTCTGTGTTGTCTGGTCTCTCTTTAATGCTTATTATAGTTCCTAGCACACAGTAGGTGTTCAGTAAATGCTCAACGAATGAAAAAAATGGATGGATGGCAATGTCAGCTGCTGTTCTTGTCTGGCTGCTTTAATGTTAACTATAAGTCATTAGCCACTTGAGCAGAGACTGTCTTTTAACTCCCTCTGTGTAGTACAGCCCCATCTGCTGTTGGGATTTATTAAATTCTTTGCAATGATGCTGATACTTTGTGTGATTTTTCTCCACCCTGTTCCAGAAGACTCCTTACCCCCAGTGAATAATAAGGTGACCAGCAAGTCATGTGAGTACAATGGGACCACTTACCAGCATGGAGAGCTCTTTGTGGCTGAAGGGCTCTTTCAGAACCGGCAACCCAATCAGTGCACCCAGTGCAGCTGTTCGGTAAGACACCACATCTAAATGTCTCTTCTAGCCCCTACCCAAATATGAGAGCTTTCTCTGTACTTGTACTTTTCATTTGCACCTACACTGTATTGTGTTTGAATGATAGATGAGTTGTATTTGAATCATAAAACTCCCTGCGAATTCAAACTCCCTGATCTTAATCAACCCTGAACAACTCTGTTGAAGAGCTCAGACCCAGTCATATCCCAATCTCAAAGTTGTAGTACTGCTTAAATGGGCAACAATGAGCTGTTTGTCTTGATCTGCACTCCCTTTCATAATAGTTATACCACCAAAGCCTTCATCTGAAGGATTCACAGTTATTTGAAGCCTTGAGAATGCTATGGATGGAAAAAAATCACTGTCACCATCAAGGGGGCCACTCATTCCAATTCACAGGAAAGTGTGTTTGTTGGTTCCTATCTTTGAACTATTCTACTAGCCAGTTAATTCCTACAACTCTGCAATGAGGAAACTCTCTATAAATGGTTGATCATGATGATTCTTGAGATATTAGTTGTGAAAAGAACTGTGTTTATATCACAAATAACATATACCAACTATATATTTACCTAACTGTGCAGACGATATAATAGATAGAACTAGACAAGGGTGTAAAATAGGTATTTAAACTGAAGAAAGAAGGGATGAAGTTAGATGTAGAAACAACTTTTCTGCCTTGACAGAGCATTAAACACTGGATTGCCCAGGGGAGTTACGGAATCTTTTCCCTTTGGAATTTTTAGTAAAAATACTGTATCTCAGTAGTTTGGGAGAATTTGGTTGTGGCTTTGCTTTCCTAATGACCTTTCAGGAACCCTTCTAGTCTCACAAGAATATGTTTCTAAGAACTAATAACAAGGTTTAAGGAATAATGTTTGGAAGATAGAAATTTAGGAAATGAAGATTATTGCAAAGACAGACCAACAAGTAAATTTGATCCTTTCCCTTACGTTGTGCTGGACTGAGCTGTGGAATTCAGATCATCTTGTATACTTCTGTATTATTCCAGGGAGTTTGTCTCTTTGGTTTGGAAGGGAGACCCTAGTGAATGTTACAAATGGCAATGATGACACAAATCCTCATTCCCTTAAATGCTCAACACCCAGCTGGGGTATGATGGGGACAGAGGGATACAGTGAACAGAGAAGAGAAACACAAGACTTTATTTGGTGGTTTGGAGGCCCATGGCCATTCTCACAGACTACTTTGTACCACCTTTGACCAGAATGCCTGACTGGAATTGCTAACTCTTCTATGAATTAGTCTCAGACATGAGGGCATTACAAATAAAAATAATAATAATAAAAGCCAACACATAATAAAATGTAGGAAGTACCTAGAACCTACTGTTGAAAAACAGTGGGGAAGGACTTGCCGTGTTTTGAACCTATATCTATCCTAGGTACTGACTGAAGGCTTTACACTTGTTCCAGATCTTTCTGATCTTAATTCTCTTTCTCCTTGGCAGGAGGGGAATGTGTATTGTGGTCTCAAGACTTGCCCCAAATTAACATGTGCGTTTCCAGTCTCTGTTCCGGATTCCTGCTGCCGGGTGTGCAGAGGTAGGTGTTTCGTTTTTTGTTTTTGTTTTTTTGAGTTGGAGTCTCACTCTTGTCGCCCAGGCTGGAGTGCAGTGGCATGCTCACAGCCACCACAGCCTTGACCTGCTGGGCTCAGGTGATCCTTCTGCCTCAACCTTCCAAGTAGTTGGAACTACAGATGCACGCCACCATGCCCAGCTAGTTTTTGTGATTTATTGTAGAGACAAGGTCTCACCAAGTTGCCCGGGCTGGTCTCGAACCCCCAGGCCTCCCAAAGTGCTAGGATTACAGGCTGAGCCACTGCGCCCAGTCTGAGGTAGGCGTTTCTTATCCCAAGACCCAGGGTGCTGATATCCTGAGTAGCAGAAATTATAAAAGAGGAAAATACCTGTCCACTTCCTAGGGAAAGAGGATTTATCATGGTAGCCGTAGTTTTAAAGGTTCTATCATTTACAAAAGAAAAAAGAATAAAAGCACTGATTTGTAAGCGCCATAGCCTAAAAGAAACTGCTCTTGAGTGCAGCAAGGGAGGATGGTTGGGAGTCATCTAATGTGAAAGTGAATATCTCTCCTTCCTTAATCCTATCTAGCTCGCCCCCTAAATTATTGTATCGTAAAATACAGATCAATTTCATGCATAGTCTTAAAAGGAAGAAGGGACCTTGCAAAGCATTGATGTGACCATGTTGAAAACTGTACAGGGCAATTTTAGGCATATTTTTTAAATCTCACAGTCAAATGGTGATAAACTCAATAAAAGCAAAATGATGGAAGGCATCATCTTCTCAAATTATATTGAAAATGAAATAGCCATCTTCCCAAACCAGTCTTTTCTTCTGTGGGTTCCATTTGTTTAATAATGGCATCATTTTTTTCCTCTAGATTCCTAGAATCAAGCTTAGTCACCTTTAATTTCTCCTTTGTTGCCTTTTCTCAAATTACCAAATCTGTCAGCAGTCTTCGATATCTCTCCTTCCTTCTTTCCACTTTTTAAAATGTGAATTACAAAAAGGTTTCCCTTACTTAAGATACTTTATTACCATTTTCCAGAAAATTCTTTTTTGAGTGTAACTCTTTAGCTGTGGCATCTATGTATAGTATACAACCTATACAACCATATATGGTATACATAACAGCAAAGATATGTTCTTTGCTCTTATGAAATTCACATTCTAACATGAAAGACGAATAATAAACAAATGTCAAAATATAAACAATGTAGGTACTATGCAGAGAGTAAACAAAGGATTGTGATAGAAAATAAGAGGTTTATTTAGGTTGAATGGTCAGGAAGGCCTCTCCAAGGAGGTGACCTGAAAGAAGAGAAGGAGCCATCCATGCAAAGATCCTGGGGAACAGCATTCCAGGCAGGGAAAAAAGGAATTTCCAGGCCCCAAGATGGGAAGAGTTTAATTTAGAACATTCAGAGAGCCTAATGACCAGTGTGGCTGAACTATAGTGATTGTGGTTGAAACTGACATTAAATGTGGCTGGAGACAGTAACAGGAGACAGACCATGCAGGACTTTGAAGGCCATGGAAGGAGTCTGGATTTCAGTTTTTACTGCACTGGGAAGCCATGAGAAGCTTGTAAGCAAGAGCATTACATGATTCAGTTGAAGTATTAAAAGATCGCATTAGACCGGGCATGGTGGCTCAAGCCTGTAATCCCAGCACTTTGTGAGGTCGAGGTGAGAAAAGTGCCTGAGCTCAGGGGTTTGAGACCAGCCTGGGCAACTTGGTGAGACCTATTGTCTACAATAAATCAAAAAATTAGCTGGGCATGGTAGTGCATGCCTGTAGTTTCAGCTACTTGGAAAGATCACCTGAGCCCAGTAGGTTGAGGCTGCAGTGGCCGTGAGCGTGCCACTGCACTCCAGTCTGGGCAACAGAGTGAGACTCCGACTCAAAAAAAAAAAAAAAAGATCACATTGGCTGTTGTGTCCAGACAACACTGAGGGAAGTTACAATGCAAGTGGAAGACCAGGAAGATGGTTAAGATAGCAACCTCTCTAGTATGAGAGGGCAGGTACTTGGGCTTGGGAGACTAGGTTCAGAGTGGAGCCTTTGGAGCCAGACTTCCTTGGTTCTAATCTCAGCCCTACCATTTCTAACTGGATAACCTTATTCAACCTTTCTGCCAATCCTTAAAGTGGGAACATATTAGCTCCTACCTCCAAGATGGTTATGAGATTTAAATGAGATAATGTAAGAAAATGACCTAGTACAGTGTCCTGTGTACACTGAGGGCTCAATAATGAAAAGTGGACAAATGTAAAGTGTATTTAGAGCATTGGTTCCCAACCATGGCTGCATATTGGAATTACCTTGGTAGACTTATGCCAGACCAGGAAGAGAAGGTGATTCCAATGTACAGCCAAGGTTGAGAACCACTGAGTTAGAGGGAAAAAAAATTTTCCTGGTAAGGTACAGGTAGGTGACTCCTATACACTAGTGTAATCTTAATCTTCCAAAAAGATAGCCTGATTCTTGCTACACATCTGTTCAAAATTCTTTAGGCTGACACATATCATACTTACTATATGCCAATCCCAGTTCTAAGTATTTTACAGGTATGAACTCATTTAATCTCATGACAACCCTGTGTGGTAAGTACTGTTATTATCCCCATTTCCTGAATGAAAAAACTGAAGCACAAAGAGGTTAAGAATCCTGTCTAAGGTTAGGTACCTAGTGAGTGGAAGAGCTAAGATTTTAATCCTGGCAGCCTGGCTCCAGACTCCAGGCTTTTAACTATGATACTCTACAACTGAAAGGAATGGCTCCCTGTTGCCACTAGACGACATCCCAATCCTCTGACTCTCGCAGTAATGTCCTTTCATGATCTAGCCCCAGTTTACCTTTGTAGGCTTATATTCTTCCATTCATACACCTCAGAGATGACTCACATTGTTCCTGTGCTCTCTTACTTTTGGACCTTGTCCCTCTCCTCTTTCCCTCTCAGTGTTTCTCAGATTTCAGTGTGCTTCAGAATTCCCCTGAGACCTTGTTGAAATTCAGAACCCAGCCGGGCTCGGTGGCTCAGCCTGTAATCCCGCGCCTTGGGAGGCTGAGGTGAGTGGATTGCCTGAGCCCGCGGGTTCGAGACCTGCATGGGCAACTTGGCCAGACCTCATCTCTACAATCAATCAAAAAATCAGCCGGGCGTGGTAGCGCATGCCTGTAATTCCGGCTACTCAGAAGACTGAGGCTGAAGGATTGCCGGAGCCCAGCAGGTCGAGGTTGCGGTGGCCGGGAGCGGCCACTGCACTCCAGTCTGGGCAACAGAGTGAGACTCCAACTCAAAAAAAAAAAAAAAAAAAAGAAACTCAGATCCCTGAACCACACCTAGAGATTCTGATTTAGTGGCCTTGGGCTAGGGCTTGGGAATCTGCATTTAAACAAACCCTATAGTTCATTCTGATGAAGAATGGTAGTCTGTGGTGTACCACTTTGAGAAACCATTCCTAAGAACATGTAGATGACTGGAAACAACCTGGAATGATGGTTTTATGCCTGAGCTTAGTGCACTTGAATTGATCCTACTAAAAGTCTGAAACTTGAGTAAACCAATAGAAAAGTAGCCATTTTCAGTCTCTAATTGGTCAGACCATCAAATTCCCATCATATGGCAACCCATTTGGAGTGAATAAGTGGTGGCCATTTCATGATAAAGAACTAGGAGGAAAAGGAGACAAAATGGTTGCCATAACAACTGCATATGTACAGGATGGAAAAGGGAATGTTGCCACTTTCTGGAAAATATTTTTCCTCCATATTCTTGCATGTGGAAATCCTGCCAGTCCTTCAAGACCTAGCTCAAACACAGCCTTCTCAGGTTCTAATGCAGGCCATGGTCAGGTTACATTTTGATGAATATTAGCTACCTCCATCCCTAATTTCTCCACCCCTCCATCCTATTTATCCTTCAAAGACCAGCCTAAATGCCACCTCCTCCATGACATGTTTTTTAATCCTGAAAGCAAGGTGTAAACTTATCTTCTTTCCAAGACTCCTCAGCACTCAACCTGTGCTTCTCCAGAAGAATTTATCACCTTTTGTCTTTTCTTATTTGTGCCTGTATCTTATTGTTCCTACCAACACACAAACTCTTTAAGGCAGAAACTCTTTCTGGTTCATATTTCCCCTGCTGTGCTAGGTACAGAGTAGTTGCTCTTCGAATGAATGCACACTAGTTTGGAAAGATTACTAGAAACTTAGTCATGATTTTAATTAGGTGATACTAAAATAGGATATGATTGACTGTGGTAGATGGTACTAACTATACATTGATAGCAGATTCCTTGGTGTCATTTCTGATCTCCAAGTTGTTTTTTCTCTCCTATCCCATTTTGGGACACTGTAATTAATATTGCTTTTTGGGTGAACTGACCTTCTTCTAACTACCAGTATATACTTAGACCTTTTAATATGTTATTTGTACCAGCCCCCATAAGTCAATATAGATTTACTTACAGCCTAATTTGATTTATGCTTCAGTAAGGCCCTGGGTCTTTCCATACATGTTTCTCACAATTTGGTGTATGTGTGTACATCTGTACCACAGTACAGCTATTACCTTTTAGTCAGGAAAGATGAATATTTTGTTCCTTACCTCCTTTCTCATTTTGCCCCAGCTTAATTTGAGTCTGGCCCAAAGGAATACACATGGCTGCTAATATAAATCAACTGGTCACTATAATCCAGCTCTTAGGCTAAAATTATTTTGTTTGAGGAAAAGGATACGTGAGACCTAAACCGAGGAACAATTAGTCAAAGAAAGGAAAGGAAACTGTGAAAAGACATTCTACTGCAACCGAGAGGCATATAGTTTAGTGCAAAGGACATAGGCCCTGAAGCCAGATGGTCACAGATTTGATATTACAGGGCTACCACCTGCTAGTGTTGTTATTTTGGACAAGCTACTTAACCTCTCAGAACGTTGATTTTCTATGCTGTAAATATGGAGATTATTATGGCTACCACTCATGAAATGATTGTACTGATTAACTGAGACTGGAT